GTCAAGCTGTGACATCGATTAGCATCCAGGAATGGGGTGCATAAATTGAGGGTGCTGATGACAGTCGCAAAAATGCAAAATGCAGGGGTGTATTTTTGGTGCATACTTAAATGCGATGTTTCTTTCAGATAATTTTGATGTGACATTTCAAACTTTCATGTGGGAAGTGCCAAAATTAGCTATAAAATGATCAAAGACATCTTTAACTTAAAGAGCGCCAAAATTAGCCATTTAATGATCAAAGACATCTTTAACTTAAAGAGCGCCAAAATTAGCCATTAAATGATCAAAGACATCTTTAACTTAAAGACTCAAAGAAGACGTCTTTGATCATTGTATGGCTCATTTTGGCACACTGTAACGCCGCATCAGGAGGACATGAACTAAATTCATTCCAGGTGTGGCACCCTTGAGGGTGTGCATTTCCCCTAGCTTTTCCTCGCTTCTTACATTTTTATAGTCCCCAGAAAATTTTTGATAAATTTCAAATACAAGAATGCATTTTTAGTAAATAATGTATTTTTGCAAAATTCTACACTTAATTGGAGAGCAACGGAAGAGATAACCAGTTTTATAAAAATGGAGCTGCCACTTAACGATAGAAACATCGCGTTAGCCCCGCCACCCTTACGACTGCAGTGGGCCTCGGATAATTTAGGGACTTAGGTGTGATGTAGATATTCTCTCACTTATCATATTTTAATTCACTGTGGGAGATGACTAAACCAAAAAGTCGTTAAGTGGGCCAAGTGGGCCTTGAAAAGTCGAGCGTCGGCTCTGCTTGAGTGATGCAAAATATTTTATTTTTTATTTTACTAAATAGTAATATGGCTTTCGTTTTTTATTTAAAAATATTTTCGGGTTAACTACATAGTTAATAAATAAATTTTCAAACATAAAAATGGTTTCCAACACCAAAAAAAAACAACAAAAAAACACAAAAAAAACCCACTTCTAATATCATTGTACATGTTGAACGCCAATGAAAAGAAAATCTTACTTATAATAATTAACTTTTCTAAATATTTCAAAGTTTTACCAGAGTGAAAAAGAAAAAGAACTGTTAAGGAGAAAGTTCAATAAATTTTTATGGGTTATCAAAACGGGCCATTGTAATATATCGTATATGAATGCCATTATTATATAAAGAAAACATGAGTTGACTACAAAATAACACTTTATATTTATTATTGTTTGATTTTATCTAAAGGAAATCGTATAGAGTCTCATCTAGAAAAAAATTTAAAAAATAAAAAAATCCGTGCTAATAGTGGGGCCTACTAAACTAAATATAGGCTAAACCCCTGCTATTCAGGAAACTTTGTTACAAAAGTAACACATTTAAAGAAAACATAGACGCTTTCGATTTAATAATTGATGAAATGTGCACTATTTTTATGTTCCCTTTAAATGTTCCATTTTATCTAAATATTTTAAAAAGACTAATGCCATCATCCAATTTATAATTAACACCCATCCCTACTTTTAAAGTCATGGTTTTATAATGAAATATAATTTTAAAATAGATTGCGCATGGTTGATACCGTACTTAGAAAGAACTGTATTAAAATACTAGACCTTTACATCGATGTAAAGGTAATTAAATACACTGTTGTAAAAATCTTTAAAATGGTGAATTAGCACCAAAAAATGAGTAAAAAGACCGATATGTGCGAACAATGAGAAGTAAGCTTTCGGCATATAATCTGGAGCGCCCATAGCGATATTTATAATCGAATAATGTACGCCTTTTCAAGATTAGCCTTAAATATAAGGATCATCCAATATATCGAAGGTGGCGATATTTCTTAGATTCCCCTAATTGTATTCGGTTAAAGGCACCAGTTGCTATTCTGTTTATAACTGTTTAAAAATTACAATTGGGTCTTTTTAAATAAAACAAAATATATAATCGTTATATAGTTTGACACATTTTGCCGGAGGGGATCACTTGACTGAAAGAAACCCTGGTTGTGATCCCATTCTCCAGTAAGGGATCCCATTCCTGAAGGGATCCCGATCCCACTTAGGACCTGATTCCAGTGATAACCTGATACAATAGGACCCTATTTCCCAATGGTATTCCATTATTGTTGGGACCTCTATCCCCTGTGGGATCCCTGCACTGATGGGATCCCATTTCCTGGAGGATACCCGAAACCGGTGGCATTAAGTTTTTCATGTGGGATCCAGTTACCCCGGTGGGATCCCTTTCTACTATGGGATCCCATACCCACTCAGATCACTACGAGTTATAGCCAGGTGCTTGTACACCACTCAGATTACTACCACAGCCAGGTGCTTGTACACCACTCAGATCACTACGAGTTACAGACAGGTGCTTGTACACCACTCAGATCACTACGAGTTATAGCCAGGTGCTTGTACACCACTCAGATCACTACCACGGTTGTACTATAACTCATTGCCAGGTGCCAGTAGACTCGATATTTGTTAATTTTTGTTAGGTCGTTCACTGGCATACAAGAAAGATGAGCCAGCTTTACAGGCGAGCCTCACAAACATCCCCAAAATCAAATCATGGCAGGGCAAGGTCTCAAACACGAGGTAAGGTCCCAGACAATGAGGTATTCTTCCCAGACAATGAGGTATTCTTCCCAGACAATGAGGTATTCGCACGGGCAGCTCTCCACAGCATACACTGATCAAGTTTAAGCGGAAATGTAACAATATCAAGTAATCTTAATTGAGATCTTTTGATCCAGTACATTTTGTGTTATGGTGTTCACATTTTATTTTATTTATTTATTTTTTAATTATTTTTTTTTGAGAAACCTATCAAAATTTTAAAACACGAATTATAAACTAACAAACCTTAATATTAATAAGACATATAATTCTTAAAAAAAGAAAGAAACATTTTCATATTTTAAAATAGCAATAAAATGTATCTAATTGAAAAACTTAAAAAGCAATTTTAAGTTCAAAAGAAAGCTTTTACAGTATGTGCTAAAAGTAACAGTGCCGAAGGAAGTCCAGCATTTTGAACATGTCGTGTTTGTCAACGATGCCATAGCCTCCAACCGCCGCGTGCTTGTCAATGATGCATATCCTCAAACCATTGCGTGTTTGTCATCGGTGCATAGCCTCCAACCATCGTGTTTGTCAATGGTGCATAGCCTCCAACCATCGTGTTTGTCAAGGGTGCATAGCCTCCAACCATCGTGTTTGTCAATGGTGCATAGCCTCCAACCATCGTGTTTGTCAATGGTGCATAGCCTCCAACCGTCGGTGCAACATTAATGTAAGTTAAGACAGTTGTGAGGACTCATATTTCCACCATTCAATAATCTATATCATAACAGATGTATCACATATCACTTACTAGCAGCAATGAAAATGTATACAAAATTTCATGTGTCCAACATTGTGAATTGTATTTATCAAGTCATAGGACATCATTGTATTTCACAGGCGCCACATAGGACATCATTGTATTTCAAGGGCACCACATAGGACATCATTGCATTTATCAAGTCATAGGACATCATTGTATTTCAAGGGCACCACATAGGACATCATTGTATTTATAAAGTCATAGGACATCATTGTATTTATCAAGTGATAGGACATCATTGTATTTCACGGTACCACATAGGACATTATTGTATTTCACGGGTACCACATAGAACATTATTGTAGTTCAGGGGTGCCACATAGGACATAATTTTATTTATCAAGTCATAGGACATTTGTATTTATCAAGTCATAGGACATCATTTCATGGAGGCCAAACTATTTTAGTCCTAATTCTACTATTGTCAAACCTCTGGAGGACATTTGTTGTAGGACATGTTTGGGAAAGTGTTTTTTTTCCAAAAGTGTTATTTTGAAGTCCGATTATTTTTTTAATAATCTATAAACTATAAAGAAGGCATACAAACTTGAAAGGACAGTAGAAGAAGAGTAAAACTTGAAAGGACATTAGTAGAAGTACAAAACTTCAAATGTTGAAAGGACGTAGAAGAGTAAAACTTGAAAGACAATACCGTTAATAGTATAGAAAAGTAAAACTTGAAAGACAATACCGTTAATAGTATAGAAAAGTAAAACTTGAAAGGATAGTAGAAGAGAACAGAACAGTAAAACTATCATTCCATCATTATGTCTCACAATGATTCATCCATTCAGAATTATTCCAGGCTATTGACTACAAGTTGTCTTTTCTCTGTCACAACTTTTTCTCGGATTCCTGCCCTTCCTATCTAACCGAACTTCTTTCTGTCTATTCACCCCTTCGACAGCTTCGCTCCTCCGCAGACACGCATATTCTGTCCATTCCCAAGACACACACTAAAACATATGGTGAACAATCTTTCACTTTCTGCGCCCCCAAACAATGGAATTCTTTGCCACGACACATCCGCAATATACCAACCACCCAGGCCTTCAAAACTGCACTCAAAACACATCTCTTTAAACTATACTACCCTGACTGATTCCCCTCCTCTGACCGATAAATGATCTTGCTGGCTGTCGACCATGGTTTGCCTTTAAAAGTCCTGGGGTTCATGCTGTTTTTTATTTCATAATTGTATTTTTTTTTAATGTCATGATTATGTCTCTTTTTATAATATTTTCATGTACAGGCCGGTGAGCCCAACCCTAGGCTGGGGTACCGCGACATAAAAGACCACCAATTATTATTATTATTATTGTCTCAGAAGAAAAGCAGTCAATATCCCACAGAGTTCACCAGTCAATATCCCAGAGTTCAGTGTCATTGATTATATTATACCAAAATAATGTGGTTGTCACTAAATATTCAAATGGCACCAAGATCTTTGCTTCAATAACTTAAATATTCAAGAAAACAATGGTCCTTTTATCATAAGATGTTTTGTGCTGCATATGCCAGATTGCATTTATTATTTGCCTTATTGTGTTAAGCATATACCAGATAGTATTAATCATATGCCAGACTGTATTATAAGCTAAAACTGTTTGGAAATGAAAAGTTGCAATTTATTTTTTTCAATACCGTACAACACTGTTATAAATAAACATCTTCGATAACAATGGACTGTGGTGAAAGTATTCAATGATGTGACAACTCTTTCAACTGTTCTCACCTGACACACGTGTATCCCATTCAGTCCATCGACCACCTCCTCTGTCCATTTGACACATGGTAACCAGAACAATAAAACAAACTAAACCTTCAACAACAACAAAAAGTGGCTTTCTAAATAATGGTGTAAACATCAAAGTAGAAGAGGAAAAAATACCATTTTATTTTGTATCGAGATTAAATTATTTTCACTTTTAGATTTAGTTACATACATCAGAAATTTAATGAATAAGTAATTGTGTTGATTTAACTATCTACGTAGCATACCCCAATATATTTTTTTTAATCTTTAAAGATTCTGATTTAACTTTTAATAAAGATAAGCAAAAAGATTTGAAAAGGTAACTTTTAGGACTGAAGCAAACCATAAATTTGGACTGAAGCAACCATAAATTTGGTCAAAAGAAGACGATTACCATTCAACTCCAGTTTTTAACATAACATAAAATAACATTAAATGAAAATAATAAAAGTACATATATGTAATGGATGGATGACAATAACTGGATCCTTAATAATAATTAGGATAAAGTATTTCCTTCATGAAAAAAAATTATAATATAATAATAGAACAAGAAACAAGACCCTAAATGCTAGCTAAATACTTTAAAAGTGTGTCAATAAAGTCTATACAGATCAAGGTCAAGATTGACTATACAGATCCATTATCGTAATTAAATAAGATAAACCTTTAACTTCAACTATGCGGGTTACAAAAAAATGTACATCTCCTTTTAATTAAAGCGCCGTCTTTCATTTTTACTTACACCTTAATGGTATGGATCTGATAACATTGTTGTTTTTTTTTAAACTATAGCTTCATGTCAATATATCAAGCAGTTAATAGAAGCCAATGCGTGATTCATTTTATTTAATGTTATTTTTTTATTTAAATTGATTACCCAAGTTGCCTTAAGATACTGTTTACTCATGTGTGGTCAACAATAAAAAAAAAACATCTTCCATGAACATCCTACATCAGGAGCAGATTCTCCACTAATCAGTCATTCCTGACACAAAAATACTATTTCTGAGTATTGCAACCAATGGTGACAAAAAAGTTCTGCCATAAGAATTATTCGAAATTTTTATTTTTCAACAAATTAATAATGGAGAATACACATTTTTCAAAAGCACAATTTACTCACTGAAAACATACACAATTTTGTGCAATTACTCAAAACATCTAGTATTTTTAAGCAACGAGACTTTTCTTTTTAAAAGTAATGTTAACTTTTGTAATGTTAACTTTTGTAACTTCAGATAAAAAAAATCCAAAAACTATCAAGAATTTTAAAAATGAAGATGAAGACAAAAACAATTAAAAGGCATATTGATTAATTGATGGCTTCAGAAACTTACTTTAATAATCAAAAGTTTTTGTTCAACAAAATCTAATACAAGTCAGACAAATTCTTCTATGTAATTTTCAAATTTGAAGTATTTTGCAATACATTTTTAACAGAGATTACAAAGGCAGCACCTTAAAAGTAAATGTAAGTGCTCATTTTATTTAAATTGACTCATCATCCCCCCCCTCCCCCCCATTTCTGACTAATGCAAGAAATGCAGATACTTAATATCCAGGAAAGCTTCACCTAAAGCATTCCATTCCATGACTACCCATCAGACTGGCACTGAAGATCTTACCAAGTTGATGCAAGCAAATAATAATGCCTTGAGGATACCCAAAAATAAAAATATCCTAGTTCAAAACCATTTGAAAAGTCCTTAGTCATTCCATCCATTTATAAAAAAGAAATCTTTAAAACTCAACAATTCACTTTTCATTATTGAAGTCATTGTCTTTTTTTTATAAAAGGAGAAATGGGGACTTGTTCGGTTTCATGTAATACCCAGTAAGGCAAATTTATTCATAAGATAATTGGGCTACGGAAATCTTAACCCAGAGGAATAATCGGTTATGGTGAAATGCAATGAAAATCTCAAATATTTCAAGAGCATTTTAATTTTTTAATTTTTTTTTTAATGTTGCACCTAGCAGTGGAGATTAATGTAGTTTGAGATTATCTTTAAATTTGATGGTCAGAAAGAGGGAATTTGTAAAGTTATGGTGTTAAAAATCATGCCCAAAAAACTAATTTATTTGTATTCCCCAGAAACTTTTCTTTAACGCCTGGAACCATCACCGGTCCTAAGCTTTCTCTTCATAATAACATCCATGGGGATTTTACGTCTGTCATAAGCTTGCCCAAGGAAATACATTGTATCAATGAAGAGAGTGGTGAGATTAAAGTGCCACCCGTACTCGCTGGTAGAATAGTCATGGGGGAAAACATGATGATAATTGTGGAACCCCTCCCCTGTTGCACAGAAGGCCACCCCAAGATTTTCAGCTGGATGTATTCTCTCGTCATAAGGCCTCTGGCCCCACATATGGGCCGCACTGTTGACAAGCCATGTAGCATTCAGCACCAATGTGTAACGCAAAATGGAAGCAATATAGAATGCATTAAAAGCACTTTCTCCCCAGAAGTACCATGGAACCATCGTAGGCATGACGAAACAAAATAGCAGCACAAGCTTTTTATAATGTCTGTGAAAGTAAAACACAAAATAAGTTTATCTCGTATTTTTCCAAACACTATGAACATGTTTTAATTATCTAACCAATGGTTTATAGAGAAAGAGGGTTTAGAGCTTTAGGCAATTAGCTATGCTTCTCTCTTCTTCAAGTGGAGCTGAGCTTTTACTTTAATCTTATATTATTTGTTTTATTTCTATTTCCTGCATTTAAAAAAAAATATTTTTAAAAAGTTGAAAGGTTTTCCATGTAACAAATTTTAAAACTAAAACATTTCATTTCAGCATTTAATTTATTCAGCAAACAGGTCATATGATAAAACTAAAAAATGTCTTTCTCGGCAAGTAATTCAAATAGGTCATGTAGCGCCCCGCCAGAGAATGATATGTTTAAGATTGGAAATAGAGAAGATTGCAAGTGACAGGAAGGCATGGAAGAGGCAACATCACATGTAGAATCCTGTTTACTAGTTAAATGATAATTTGTTACAAAGTAATGACTTACCTGTTCTGAAAGGCTACAATTGGATCACTTAATAAGTCAGAATAATCAATCATTTTCCCCTTTTCCTTCACATCTGGATGTTTCTTAACAAGAAGCCAGCCCATATGAGCAAAGAAAAATCCTCGTTTAGCATTATGAGGATCTGCGTCAGTCTCAGAAAATTTGTGATGAGCACGGTGGTCACGAGCCCATTCATAAATTGAATTCTGAAATAAAATATAAAACTTATTTTCAATTTGTCAGATGTGCAATAATAAAATAATAACCTTTCCTCCACTAAAAAAACGTTTGCACCCCAGTCGGCTCTAACCAATGAATTCTTTTTTACCGTAACCCTATGATTGTCATAACGGCAGACAATCGGCCGTTATAGGCCTTTGCTAATCGTCACTAAAAATGTGAATTGATTTAATGTATATTGTTTATGGGGAAATCACTCTTTATAATTTATTATAAATGTCTTGTGTTCAAATTGTTTTGTTTTTTTAGCTGAAAATGTATAATGCAATCAAAAAACATTTCCATTTATTTGGATCAATAAAAAAAATCTTATCTATCTTATAAATGAGTTTGCTTCCCATTTCTCTTACTATCAGTTATCAGTGTGTTTACATGCTTTTATCTCAGGGATCTTTGTGTGATTAACCAGGTGATTTCTTCACCCCCATAATGTCTGATGCCGGAGAGGGGCCCCCCTTTGGGATTTCAATTTCTTTTTTAGAATTATTTAAAATATAATGAAAGTAAAGATATCAGAGATATTCCATGTGCAAATAATGACAGCATAGGCTCGAGCGGTGATGTTGAGATAAAAGTAAGATATTGACAGTTTTATCCCTAAGCTTAGTCATATTGTTACAGACTAATTGGTTTGGGAAAGGGTGGAAATCGAACAGAAAAAGACATAGATTTGATCCTAAAGATCTAACCCAAAGGTATTTATGTTTGTACATGTTCTGAAGTATTAATTGATAAAAAATGAATTTAATAACTTCATATAAAAGGAATTTTTAACCTCTTTTTGTGCCTTCCCACTTGAATTTTGTTTGACAGAAATTAAGGTACTGAACGAAAAAATTCACCAATATCACAATTTACCATATACTACCCTGACTGATTCCCCTCCTCTGACCGATAAACGATCTTGCTGGCTGCCGTCCATGGTTTGCCTTGTAAAAGTTATGTGGTGGGGTGGGTGAATATACATTGCTGTTCTTTACTTCATAAATGCATTTTATTTTTATGTCATGATTATGTCTCTTTTGATAAAATTTTTATTTACAGTGTGGTGAGCCCAGCCCTAGGCTGGGGTAACGCGCTATATAAGACCTCTTATTATTATTATTATTAACTATAAACGTCATGAAAGGATGTTGCATCAAAAACTTGATTTTATGATAGTTTGAACAATTTATGGAGTATTTAGAGTGGGTTCAATTCAGAAGTTGAGTAGTAAAATCTTACGCCCTCTGCAAAGGTCAATATCAACATAATATAAAAAGAAAAAAATTTAATACCATAAGGTACCTTGTCCAATGTGCTTTCAGAATATGTATACTACTTGTCATTTTTTACACATATGAAATAGCTAAAAATGGCTTGATGCTATAGAAATTTGTTCTGACAGTTAAAGAAGTAGATAGCATTAAAGAAGTAGAAAGCTACTTGAAAACACTTACTTGGAAAGATATACAGTTACATAAAGCCAAAAAGAATCTCAGTGGCAGCCTGGCTTTGTATGATCGATGTGACCACAAACGATGAGCGCCAGCAGTGATGCCCATGGCAGCAAAATAGTACATCACGGAACCTAAAGAACGTTAATGGATTCATTAGAGCTAAATATCTTGGACAAGGTTCAAATAATGGCGTGCTATGAATATAAAAATACAAAGAAGGAAGTATCTAAAAGCTAATGGTAAAGCTTATTTTCAAAGGATAAATTTATTATTGTAAAGCGGAAGGACGTAGATCTTCATAACAAAATAATTCATTTTAAATGAAGTTTAGAGCCGACATAAATCTCTTAAGCATCCTGTTATCACAAAACGTATCGACTCCCTGTGCATTTTCACTAAAGCCCCACTTCAGTTCTAACAGATGAAGTAAGTCTAACTTGATATAAGACTATAAGAGGAAAGAGATGATTATACTTACTCCAAATAAGAGTATACAGCTTGGCTTGTGGGATGAGAATGAGGGTATAGAGAGCACCAACATGCAGTAGTATAAATAGAACCACATTGCGCCAAACAATAACCATCGGTGGACGTTTGGGGCTTGGACTTGATTCACTGATCAGTGTATCCACTTGGTCAAGACCTAAACGATCACCTTCATAATCTGGATTTTCTGCAGCATTCCTAGGAGCCATTTTTTTTCAGATGAGTTGATTACCTATAATAATATGTATTTTAAAATGTTATTAAGTGAGAACATGTTTCATCAGAAAGGAAAGACATATTTTTTTAAACTATATAAGTAAAGTTATGCAAGCAGGAGAATGCACCATTTCAATAATGCTAAACTATTTAACAGACATTTCACGACCGGTTCACTCATTACAGTAACACCTTTTAAGCTATCTTAACTGACTAATTAACACATCAATTAGGAATGATGGATTCCATGATAATCAAAGTCAATTAGACAAATGTTAAATTCTCAGATGTAAACGCCATCTATCAGTTTTATACTAAAAACTTTGCAAATTATTCTCAAAATGTCCCACTGGAATCCAATTAAACACATTGCACATGATATTGTACATAAACTATCATAAAGAAATTTTAAACAAGTTTTTTCTCTATACAGGGGCGGCCAACCCAAACTGTTTCACACTGAGTAAACTCTTAGCAAGCCTAGGGTCATGTCTCCTATCAAATAATTAATGTACAGAAATATATAATTATTCTTATTCTTATGCATATAATTCTCATATAATAACAAATGGACATGCCACCATTTAAAATTTAAAATTGAGATATAACAGCTCAATATACATATAAACGGGTGGTATTTGGGAGAAGAAATCGAGGATGGCGAACATTTTTAATGCATGGATGCAATTTGGGGAATATCTGAATTTATTCTACCTGCGCATATATTCACAAAAAAAGCAGTGTTTATATATATATATATATAATTCAATATTACAAATTTATATCGGGGGGAATGAAAAGTAGGGCTAATTGAATGAAGACAGAAATTCATATCAGATTTATCCGGTGGGCTGTCAATTAACTACCTCTGCTCTAAACTTGAAAGAAAGTAACAGGTAGATTTGTTTCCATGCATATCAATTATGAAACAAAATCTTAAAATCACTAAGCACAATGAACAATTTATTTAAAAAGCTCAGATATTCTGAATTTTTATCTGGAAATAGCCAGGTGGAATGGTCTAACTGTACAAGCTAGGCAGCCATTCATGTTGAGGAGGTACACCCAGAGTAAGAAACATCAATAACCACATAAGGCAACTGGGGTGATATTTAAAACATTCGTTCCCCTAACCAATGTTAGGATAAACTTAATCCCAGCTCCTGGAATAAGTAGTTGGTGGTCATGTTGATATTCATGGACAAGGAAGCTGATACTTCAGTTTTTATAATATGCTTATTGGTAGTTTTGAAGTTTGCTGTTATTGTTTATTTAGTGGTGTGGAAAGTGAGGGTGGGGTGTAAAATTCTGGTTCTTCAAATTTTTGCACCAATTACCCACTACAGGTTGATACCACCAACTTATTGTGAAATTAAATTGTTATCAGAATCCAATAACACAATTATTGTAATGCAAACCTGCAAGCTTATATTGACAACAGAGACACACATTCAGGGTGCTTTGTTCTTAAAGGGAGTCATCTAGAAATATTGGAAAATCCATCATTCAAAATGACCATATTTCCCTGTAAAAATGTTTCAGCCCAGCCCCAACATGCAACATTTAATGACATGGGAGATAAGTACCTATTTTTTATAATAAATTCATAAAACTGTCATTTAATAAAGAGTCTTTTTTTTACATGGTAACATTTTTAACATAAAAAATCCCATTGTTGTTTTGTTATAATCAAAGACCCGGTTTTGAAATTCCCATGTGAAACATCTCTAACTATCAATGTCAGAGAGGCACTCTTTGTGAGTTGACCATCAGTACAATCGTTTTTCATTTTCATTAATGTATGTTAAAAATTTCATGATTATGTTTGTTAAAATGTATGTACAGGGCGGTGAGCCCAGCCCTAGGCTGGGGTACTGCGCTAGGGCTGGCCTACTGCGCTATATAAAACCACTAATAATAATAATTATTCTGCTGGGTGGCAGAGTGATCAAAACTGAGCAAATCTCAGGTTGGTGGTCTGGAGTTCAATTCCAGCCAAAGCCAAGTCAAGCAAAAACATCACCAGCACCATCCGGGTGGATGGGACTCGTTAACCTTGGATGGCGACTCATCTAAGAGAAGGAAACTCTGAACCCAGAGATGGAGTCGCGTTCCCTTGGGTTATCCAGCCGCGCGGAGAGATGCGATTTGCTGTTGCGCACCAGCTTAAACGTTCAATTCAAAAGAATAATCCCAGGCATTGTGGATTTTGTCCTGCGAAGTCCACACCATCGTCACATTGTGGCGGACGTATGCCAACAACAAAAAAAAAAAAAATCCAAAATTGAGACAGTAAGGTTAATAGCATTTATATGTTTGAACACCTCTGAAGAAAAATAAAAAAGCTTTGGTTTTATCTTTTCTTTTTTATTCACAAGGAGTTATTTGTACCGAGGAAACCTGCCTAAGTTCACAGTGATAATTAATTGTGGAAAACTAGTGGGTATTCTTTATTTAATCATTGTAGTAATGTGATGTGTGTCATAAGTGGTGAGATACTGATAATTATGAAGGATGTTGGGAAATGTTTTTTGATAAATCTACCCTCTTTTGGCAGGAATAAACCAACAACTCATGAATATTATCGCTACGGATGAAGTATAAAAATTGCATCAGGTTCTAACAATGGTTGTAATGCTATGTTGCATGTCATAAGTGGTGAAATGTCGATAATTATGAAGGATGTTGTGAATTCTTTTTGTTTATTGCTGTTGACAGATGTGTTCCTGAGATTGTGTAAGGTGGAAGAAATGCATTTCAGGCCATGGGAAATTAGTTTCAAGGAAAAGTGTTTGGGATTTGAAAAGGTTTAATGAGATGACGTGTTATTTGTGTTACTTTTGGAATTCACTAAGACACATTTTACACAGAAGATGGACGCCATGATGCTCCCCTGCATGGGGACGTGCAGCACTGTTACTGAGCAGCCTTTCAGACATGTGTCTGCTCTTACAAACGTGATATGGCTCTGGATGTCGATTTCCCATGACTGCTCTCCAGTGTTCTTATGTGGCCAACTTAACGTCATGTGAGAGTAAATACCACAGAAGGTGGCACCTCTGCTAGTTTTTTAGTAAACTGATCATCAGTTGCAGAAATCTGATATTGAATGCATAAGTTATAATCATTTGTATTGGAATTTATAGAAATATATTCGTACAATGCTGATTGATATGATTGTAAATGGCAGTCAAAGGAGAATTAAGTTCTAAGTAATTCTTCAGACCACCATTTGGAAAACTGCTCAAAATAAATTCCGGAAATACTGGTCAAAAGATCTGAGCACACAGCCACCCATATCAATGTATACATTATAACAACCTATTTTTTGCTACATAATTCTTGCACACTATTGTGTGCCCAACTGATTTAAATCACAGATCTAAATTCTAGTTAATAAATATGAATGTGGGAATGTTAGATGTAACTCTGTTACCAGGGAAAAGCCATTAGAATTGGAAAGTTAGCAAGATAGATGGACATAGGAAAAAGCAGGGAAAAACAAGTCAAGATGGATTGATATTTGGTTTAAGATTACTGAAGTGGCCTGGCTGTTTTGATTAACCTGGAATAATGATAATCTGGAAAATTTCTGTAGTGTGGTCAGAAGTGACAAGTTCAGAACAGACTTTTCTCTAGATAGCTTTAAATCTATGTAGTGTTGCATCCAGGCCATGTATCCAAATTAAACATCAATTAATGCAGCTTCAGAGTGCATTTACGATTTATTAGTTAGCATAATTATTGGTCCTCAATAGCTGGTCTAAACAATTTAAGTTACTTTACACTAGTTAGTAGTAGACTAGGTCTAGAGAAAAGTCCAAGTTAAGTGTCAAATATTTAGTTTTTATGACATTTTGCAAAACAGTAGCCAGTAGCCTTTGTCACAACCATATCTCATTAGACTAGGGTACCCAAATGTCCCGTAAAAACGGGATTGTCCCATTTTTTCTCGGGATGCCTAAATGTCCCGTTTCTAAAACCGAAAACATTTTCAAATCACTAAAACTTCCTGATATATACTATAATTTCAAGTAATATTTTGGGTAGCTGTGTAGCCAGTGACAGTAGTGATGTGGGGTCGCGTGATGGCTGCATTTAATTTGTTGGCTGCCTCAGAGTTAAATTAAATGACAAAAGTGAAGATAAATTTAAAAAGATTTCTAGGTCTCCAAATAGTTCAAATGAGCAGATTTCAATCAAATAAACATTTTCTGGCGGAGGCCCCTGGATCTCTATTTATAAGCTGGAGGGTATCCCCCTCACCAACCCTCCTTGGGTGTGTCTAGGTACTTGAAAACTAGTTGACGCACCGTTCTGCACATGTCCAAAAATGTCGATAAAACTTGCTCTACAGCTACACAGTATCTTTGGAAAATTGCATACTACGTCACCTTTGTTTTTTAAATAATTGCTTACCTCATCAGTGACGTGGAGCGCATATTTTTTCAAAACATTTGACACCATTTTTGCCCGCATGTTGGACTTTGTACTGGCAACTCATTTACTATTATATAAGGGTATGTACTTAAATAGCTTATTACTTTTTAATGTAAAATGGCAACGCTTTTAATTTTACTGCGCTACTGCTTCATATATTCACAACATGGAATAACTTTATTTCGTTAATAATAGTGATCGCTGAAGGAAGTTAGAGACCTCAGAGTTTTAGAAAATCAAGTTTTTCACCAGTTACCCCCCTCAAATAAAAAAAATTGGGTTGTCGGAAATGGCTCTCGTCATTAATATTTTAATATGAAGATATGAAAAAGATGACTATTAATGTTCATCTTCAAAAATTCGTGGAACACTTATCAGTCAATTGATGGGAAACAGTTTTACTATATTTTTAGAAATTATTACAAACCAGTAAATGAAAGATTTTTTTATTAATTTTAGTTTGTGTAGTCTGTTGAATTTCGGACCAGTTTTGTCCCTTGATTTACAATGAACTATTATACAATAATATGTAAATATCGATTTTAAGTTTAGAAATTTTATGACAGAAGGTCTAAACATTTTATCAGATCTTCTTTATTGAATCAATAATAGATAAATAATCTTAATAGTAAATGCTATTCTCTAATTAGTGACATTACTCCTATAAGAGAATATATTATAGTGTATATTTTAATAGGCTTAAACTTAAGCCTAATAATAATAATTAATACTGATACCATGTATTATTACTAATAAACTAATAATACTATTCAATTCCATTAATACAACTGCATTTACTCTTACAGTTACAGGCCTAATTTAAGTTAGTATTTTAAAAACATTAATAAGGCATTTAATTATAAATTAAAGACATCATATAAACAAACATCATTAAGTTAACTAAGTCTTAGTTAACTTTGTAATTATTGTTCTTTACGGCTCAAAGACAGTTTACATAGGCAAATATCTAATATTTCTAATAAAATAAAACTAAAAGAAATTAGTTTTACCAACCAAAAAAATTGAATAATATTGAAATGCAATAAGAAATTATGTAGATTCAGGATATGATTAGATGTTATTTCTAGGTTTCATTCAGACATCGGAGAAAAGTTTAATTTTCTATTAAAGAAGTCCTTCCATCGACAAGTAAGCACATTTGGACAAAGACAAAGTATATGAAAGAGGGATTGTGGATTTATCAACAAGACCCAGCAGTTTGAAGAGTAGTCTAAATATAAAAATGACAGGCAGAACATCCCCATTACCTTTTAAAATTTAATCACATACCACCCCAGTACTGGTATGCTCGTATTAGTCTTATTGGTGATGTAAGTAGTTTTTGTTTATAATCTTATGCATTCAAATTCATTGTAACAAAAAAAATAAGAATTGGTTTAAAATGTAAGCATATAATTCATTAAAATACAATAAACATGTTATTTTTTTGTTTTTTCCTTTACAAATGTTAATTTGTTGTTTATTTTGTTGTATATTGCATTGAGAATGTCTCCTGAAAATTTGGTAGCATTATTTTTTAAAGTAAAAAAGTTTTGGGCAAAATAAGGCAGAAATTTGGAAAGTTGGTCACAAGTTTTTTCAGTTAAATACAAAGATAAAGAAGGGGGTTGTAAAAAATCACCAAATAATCATAACTCCACTTCTATAAAAGTTAGAGAGATGAAATTGGTGTTGTTATAGAGGTTATAGCTAGCCCTTTAAAAAATGTATCATTCATGGCAATCAGACAATATTTAAATTTTGTGTCAAAGTACCTAGTGTGTCCCATTTTTTCCAGTTCATGATTTGGTCATCCTACATTAGACCCATTTAGACCTACTGAATACGCTGATTGTCACAACTAGTACTAGTTAGTTCCTTACTCCTAAGCCTAAGTCCTAAGTCTAAGTAAGTCACACAGTAAATCAGTAAGTTAGTAAGGTGACAGTAAAGTTGTGAAAATTCACCTTAACCTCCTTAGGATATTATATTAAATATTCTTTAGTTTTGCTTTTATTTGTGCTGGCTCAATATTTTTTATGGAAGCATGGTGCCTGACCCTGTCAATCTCTGTAACTGTTTGTGTTGTGTAAGCCCTACTCTACCTCTAGGACAGCTACTCCGTTCCGTTGGTTCCGCTAGCATTAGTTACGTTTCTCTGAATATATTATTATATTATCTAGGCAAAATATAAAGTTTAACATAACTCAAAATTTATATTTAGTAAATATTGATGTGGAATGATGTTACTGTAATAAAAATTAAGGGCATTATTAGGCTAGGCTAGGCCTATGTTTATTTTTATGGCATGGTATTAACCATAAATAAACCACCATCGCACTAGCCGCAGCAAGGCACTACTTGTTTTTCTCTGTAATATTATTAAATAAAAAATATACCATCAAAATTTACTACCTGTTGAAATAAATCTCCTTAAAAATCCTTTCGTTTTTTTTTCTCTATTTAAAAAAAAATATCCGTTGATAGAACAGATGAACTTGCTAACTCAATAATCTCCACGTTATTTATTTGTTTTCAGTGATCTTTCCTATCCTTGAACAGCTGATCTTTACGCTCTAGAGTTTAGAGTTTAGACTGAACCAGTGGCGTGATTGTTAAGGATCGAATGATAGCAGCGCCAAAATCGAAAGGATATAATACAATTATTTTTAGGCCCATTATTTCTAGTAAATAAATTGTATATTTATGGCTCATTATGAATCTATGTTGCTTATAACTAAAACTAAAATGTTTAAATTGCAAAATTAATAAATGAACATTATGTTTTATAACATGTTTACCTTTTAAGAAATTTTAACCCCAGTTGTTGTTTTTTCAAATGTGCTCTATTTATCCTTTCGATGCTCTTATACATGATGTACGCGCGTGTCAGAAGTCTCGTTAACATTTCATAATTGAGAGAACGTTAGAAAATAAAATTATTGGTGCACCTTAATGAATCGCTTCTGCTAAATCATGTATCATTGTTAATTAATTTAACACTTTAAAGATATTGATATGTAGAGATGCATAATTTATTAGTTGTTTTTTTTTCTAATGCTTTAAATAAAGGTGGGGGGGGGGAGGTATCAAATTTAAATTAAGTTACTAAAAAGTTTGTTTTTAATCGACATGTTACTGCAAAAAAGCAAAAAAATTTAAAATAAAATAATCATCAAACTATTTTTTCAGTCTTACCACTAGGTTCGTAATGGTATTTGACTAGCGACTGGATTAAATGTCTGACTAATGGGATATTGACACATTTTTTCGTTTTAAAATTATTTACACTGTCAATTAGTAACGGTTTTCTATTTCACTTTAATGCAGATTAATTTAGCAGATGAAAACAGGACTTAGTAAAGAGGGCGGGCGCCACTATCACAGAGCTCACCAAAATAGTAAATCATCAATATATATCAGGGGCAATCTATAGGCCTTTATCCATAACATAGGCAAAAAGGGGGGGGGGGGGGGGGGGGGGGCGGTCTCCCCTGGGGGCTCTTTTTAAATTCATATGAAATGGGCAGAACTTTCGGTCTAAAGCAAGGGTCCTCAAAGGTCAGATCCTGCCTGCCATTCGATGACTTGGACTGTCGCGACAAATATAGAACCGATCATAGGCAAAAGCAGGAAAATAATCGCAGCAAAACCAACAGACGATCCAGCCGTTAAGCAGCCTGCTGAGATGATGAAAGTACCTCCACCGATGACGCCGCACCGATCATCCCGCATCGAACAGTGAGAAGACCCCCCCACCCCCCCCCCAGGCCAAAAACGGAAGTGAGGTAGCTATACCAATTACCAATGCACTATGTTGAAATCCTTCATATTAACTTCGCTTTTGTGTATGTGTGTGTGTTTATGGCTTCCAGTCAACCTATCGAGCTAAAATTTGGCATATAGATTCGTTGTTGATGACAAAACATTCTATCAATTGTTTTAGCCCCGCCCTCTACCCTAACCCCCAAAAATAAGTTTTTCCTGTTTTTCAAGGGGAAGGTGGAGTAAATATGATGCCACCGATTTCTTGAGATAAACGGGGTAGTAGGGGGGGGGGGCGTCAATAGAACATTAATAGCCTATAAAATAAAATGCAAAGAAAGGATTTAAAGGAAAAAAATTTTCTTGACAGGTTGTTTCATTGTTTATTCGACAGGTTGTTTCATTGTTTATTCGACAGGTTGTTTCATTGTTTATTCGACAGGTTGTTTCATTGTTTATTCGACAGGTTTTTCATTGTTTATTCGACAGGTTTTTTCATTGTTTATTCGTCAGGTTGTTTCTTTGTTTATTTGACAGGCTGTTTCGATTTTTATTCTGTATGTTTGATATCATTGGCTTATGCCTTAGTAAATATTTATTAATTTTCATCAAAAGTTTGAATTTGATTCTATTCTACCAATTATAATTATCTACCGGTAGTCATTGTAAAACATCCTAGGCAATAAAATGACTAAAATACTCACCACCTAATGACCTAGTTTTTTTCCTTGCACATTTCCTCATGATTCTAGACTTCAAAGGGGCGCCAAAGCTAAGATGACCAGGGGCGCCGGCAACCGTTAAGACGTACATTGTTGTTGTTTTTGTTGTGATTTGTTCAGTGTGATGTGTGTGTTGTGATGTGTTAGGTGTGATGTTTTTGGTGTGATGTGTTTGGTGTGATGTGTTTGGTGTGATGTGTTTGTTGTGTTGTGTTTGTTGTGATGTGTTTGTTGTGATATGTTTGTTGTGATGTGTTAGGTGTGTTGTTTTTGGTGTGATGTGATTGGTGTGATGTGTTTGTTGTGATGTGTTTGTTGTGATGTGTTTGTTGTGATGTGCTTGGTGTGATGTGTTTGTTGTGATGAGTTTGGTGTGATGTGTTTGTTGTGTTGTGTTTGGTGTGATGTGTTTGTTGTGTTGTGTTTGGTGTGATGTGTTTGTTGTGATGTGTTTGTTGTGATGCGTTTGGTGTGATGTGTTTGTTGGGATGTGTTTGGTGTGATGTGTTTGGTGTGATGTGTTTGGTGTGATGTGTTTATTGTGATGTGTTTGTTGTGATGTGTTTGTTGTGATTGTTTGTTGTGATGGGTTTGTTGTTGTGATTTTTTACAATTTAAAATTTATTTCCAAATATCCGACTAGTTTCTTATTTTGACTACCCCGGTACACTCTGACAACATGTAAGCTAAATAACATTGGAATATCAGCATTTCCTCTAGGTGCAGTGATTGCTGTCACTTCTGTACTGTATGTCGTTTGGCAGCCAGCCATCAGTGGCCACCAATTCTGTCTTTCATTTGGCAGCGAGAAATCACTTCTCTCTGTCATTTGGCAGCTAGTCGTCACTTCTGTCTGTCATTTGGCAGCCAAACATCACTTCTCTCTGTCATTTGGCAGACAGCCATCACGTCTCTCTGTCATTTGGCAGACGGTCATCACTTCTCTCTGTCATTTGGCAGACAGCCATCACGTCTCTCTGTCATTTGGCAGACGGTCATCACTTCTCTCTGTCATGTGGCAGACAGCCATCACGTCTCTCTGTCATTTGGCAGCCAGCCATCACTTCTCTCTGTCATTTGGTAGCGACTCAATTGGCCATCATCTTTTCCACATACTATCTGCTATTATTTATGGTTTCACGATATAATTGTTGACGTCACCAAAGACCAATATAACTTTCACCCCCCCTCCCCCATGTCACCACTCACCCCCTGTCCCATGTCACCACTCATCCCCTGTCCCATGTCACACTCACCCTCTGTCCAATGTCATAATTCACCCCCTCCCCATGTCACCACTCACCCCCTCCCCCATGTCACCACTCACCCCCTGTCTCCACTCACCCCTGTCCCATGTCACCACTCACCCCCCCATGTCACCACTCACCCCCTGTCCCCACTCACCCCTGTCCCATGTCACCACTCACCCCCTGTCCCATGTCACCACTCACCCCCTCCCCCATGTCACCACTCACCCCTCCCCCATGTCACCACTCTCCACCCAACCAAGCAAGACCCTCCTCCCAAATCCTGCTTGCTTGAACACCTTAGTTTCGACATTCTAGATATCATATCAGTGGCTAGCGTCCATCTCATACATGGGTGGTAAGAGGAGATGCCAACTTTTGGCCGGTCATTGCTGTGTATGGTCAAACTCAGGTCATTGCTGTGTATGGTAAAACTCATGTCATTGCTGTGTATGGTCAAACTCAGGTAATTGCTGTGTATGGTCAAACTCAGGTCATGGCTGTGTATCGTCAAACTCAGGTCATTGCTGTGTATGGTCGAACTCAGACCATTGCTGTGTATGGTCAAACTCAAGTCATTGCTGTGTATGGTCAAATTCGGGCCATCCCAAGTCCGACCTTATCAACCTTACCTTTATTATCATTGGTGGACCTGTTCCCCCACCGGCGGACAGCTGGATGCCCCTATCTCCGTGTGACATCGGCTGTTGAAGTTCGGTCATTTGAACGACATGTAGAAAGGCCTCGCAAGTTGTGACCTGGTTTCTCACATGTCCACTTTAACCCAGCACCCGAGCACTTCAGGGGAAACATGGACTGGAGGAATGAGTGCTAATTTATAAAACGAAAGACGGGCCTCGCCATAAATCTATCGACAGTCTACGGTCGACAAGTTACGGATTATTTCCTGGCATATTTAATAAAATAAAAATGATCTGATTTAATATTTTTTCAAAATTACCGTCAAACTTATTTTAAACTCATTAAAAAAAAATGGAGCTGAAAAATATAGGGCATCAAAAATCTAGCTCATCTAGACCCCTTCTTATACGATTAATTAGATCTAGACCCCTTCTTATACAATTAATTAGATCTAGATCCCTTCTTATACACTTAGATCTAGATCCCTTCTTATACACTTAGTTAGATCTAGACCCCTTCTTATACACTTAGTTAGATCTAGATCCCATCTCATACACTTGGTTAGATCTAGATCCCTTCTTATACACTTAGTTAGATCTAGATCCCTTCTTATACACTTGGTTAGATCTAGATCCCTTCTTATACACTTAGTTAGATCTAGATCCCTTCTTGTACACTTAGTTAGATCTAGATCCCTTCTTATACACTTAGTTAGATCTAGACCCCTTCTTAAACACTTAGTTAGATCTAGATCCCTTCTTATACACTTAGTTAGATCTAGATCCCTTCTTATACAATAAATTTGATCTGGGTCCCTACTGACCCAACCAAATTCGTCAAATTGTGGCTAGAATTGTGTTTGTTATGGTTGGACTTCTTTGTTATGAGACTTTGATAGAAAGCCACTCTTGCCGTAACCGGAGTGTTTGGTTCTTTGTTATGAGACTTTGATAGAAAGCCACTCATGCGGTAACCGGAGTGTTTGGTTCTTTGTTATGAGACTTTGATAGAAAGCCACTCATGCGGTAACCGGAGTGTTTGGTTCTTTGTAATGAGACTTTGATAGAAAGCCACTCATGCGGTAACCGGAGTGTTTGGTTCTTTGTAATGAGACTTTGATAGAAAGCCACTCATGCGGTAACCGGAGTGTTTGGTTCTTTGTTTTGAGACTTTGATAGAAAGCCACTCTTGCCGTAACCGGAGTGTTTGGTTCTTTGTAATGAGACTTTGATAGAAAGCCACTCTTGC